GTACAGCGTTTCGTGGCTCTATAGAGAGCTCCAGTGAAGGTCCCAGTGGGACCGCCCTCATGCGTCCGCCAAGCCCAATACCGCGTTTCGTGGCCCCATAGGGAGCCCCTCCGAAGGTCCCAACGGGACCGCCCGCATGCGTCCGCCACACCCAGTACAACGTTTCGTGGTCCCATAGAAAGCTCCGCCGAAGCTTCCAGTGGGACCGCTCGCGCGCGTCCGCCACACCCAGTACAGCGTTTCGTGGCCCCCATATGGGGGCTCCACCGAAGGTCCCAGTGGGACCGCCTGCATGCGTCCGCCACCCAGTACTGCGTTTCGTGGCTCCTTGAGTCCCACCGAAGGTCACAGGGGAATGCGTCCGCCACACTCAGTGCAGCGTTTCGTGGCCCCATGGGGGGCTCAACCGAAGGCCCTAGGTGGACCGCCCGCATGCGTCGGCCACACACAGTACCGCGTTTCTTGACCCCATGAGGAGCTCCTCCGGAGGTCCCAGTGGGACCGCCCGCATGTGCCCCCCCGACCCACTAAAGCGTTTCGCGGGCTCATAGGAAGCTCCACCGAAGGCCCAGTAGCACCGCTGCGTCACCCCCAAATGCAGCGTTTTTGCGGCCCAATAGGGAGCTCCACCGAAGGTCCCAGTGGGTCCGCCCGCATGCGTCCGCCACACCCAGTACAGCCTTTCGTGGCCCTATCGACAGCTCCACTGAAGGTCCCAGCGGGACCGCCCGTATGCGTCCGCCACACCCAATACAACGTTTCGTGGTCCCATAGACAGCTCCGCCGAAGGTCACAGTGGGACTGCCAGCATGCGTCCGCCACACCCAGTACAGCGTTTCGTGGCCCCATATGGGGGCTCCACCGAAGGTCCCACCGGGACCGCCCGCATGCGTTTCCACAACCCACTACAGCGCGTTGTGGCCCCACAGGGAGCTCCACCGAAGGCCCCAGTGGGATCGCCCGCATGCGCCCCCCCTCCCCCCCCACCCATTACCGCACGCTTCATCACGCGTTGCGTGGCCCACCGGAAACGGCACCCACAGCGCGTTATCCACAACTGCATATGGTTGGGTCTTTCGCCAGGATAAGCCCTCCATTCGTGAAGCTCTAGAAGTTTTCTAAAACGAGTGCGCGGCGCTAAGGCGAGAATGACATTTTGAGAACGACCCTCTCTCCGTGTGTGACGCTGTCGTCAGTTTTGAAGCATCAGGGTCCGACGTGGTGAGGACGTCTCATGCGAAGTGCCCGGCCCGCTCTTTCGACCGGCCTCGGGGTGCGACGGGGAGGACCTATCAACAAGGCAGGGCTGGCCCTAAACGGTGTTTCGCCGATTTCGTGGGCCGTTTTCCTTTCGACTTCGTTTTGCGGTCAGGGCGGATGGAAGACAGAACGAGGGAAAACGAAGACACAACGAACACGAAAGACACCCTTTAGGTCCAGCCCTGCTGCGAGGAACAGGAATGGAGAGGGGTGGATGAGGAGGAAGACGAGGAGGGAGGTTCAGGAGGGAAAAACACACAGACACAATTAATCGACGATCCCCAGGATAATATGGGAAGTGGGGGGAAGACAAAAACCCAGAGAATATGGGAAGACATGGGGAATCTTCTGATTTGTGTGTGTTCAGTTGTGTGTCCTGGGGCCCCTTTCGAGGTGTCGCGCGAGGGGCGCGGGCCACAGCCCCAGAAGGCGCCCCCCACCAGGCGGCCCTGCGCACCCTGGCGCGAGCAGGGCCGCGAACAGGGCCGCGAGGGGCGCCGACGCGCCAGGGCCCCGCGCGGCCTCCAGGGGCGCCCAGGAGGCACAGACGACACACATCAGAGCGACGAGGAAGCCTCCACGACTTGAAAGTTCCTCCCCGCCCCCCCCTCCCCTTCTGTTCTCTCCCCTCCCCTTCCTCTCCTCCTCCTCAGCCTCCTCCTCCTCCTCCCCTCAGCCTCCTCCTCCTCAGCCTCCTCTCCTCCCCCTCCTCTCGGCTGGACCTCACCGCGGGGGCGGCACCCGCCCGGCAGTTGTGCGCCGTGACCCGCGCCGTCGAGGAGGACCGACTCGAAGCGGAGCTCGCGCGCCGAAAGGGCGGCGATCAGGAGTCAGAGCCCTCGGCGCCCCTGGCGCTTCAGTGGGTGGCGGCAGGGCCACAGCGGCACCGCGAGGGACGACGGAGTCGCTGCAGAGACCGAGGGCTCCGCCCTCGGCTGCGAGGATGAGCAGGAGAATGGGATCTCGGCTCGTGTCTCGCTGCAACAAGACAGTGGGATCTCGGCCCGTGTCTCGCTGCGATCGAGAGAACCGGAGTAGCTGCCTGCAGCACGAGTGCGACAAGGGGCGCTGCTGCCGGCGCAAAAATATGGGACAAGTGCTCATCGAGCGCTGCTGGAGTTGTGGGTGGTTCCAGGAAGAGTCCCCCCCTCCTTCATCCCCCTCCCCCTCGTCCTCCTCCTCCTCTTCCTCCTCCATTCTCTCCTTCTCAATCCCCTCCTCCTCCTCCTCTCACTCCTTG